GAGGTTGACATGTCTGTCTAAAAGGCATCAATAAATCAAATGTTATTTATATAGCCTAAATCATGAATTACACATGTGTCTTTACCGGGTCTAAAGCAGTGCTTGGGGATGACATTACATAATCAGGATACAAAGAAAAAGTTACCGTGTTCCCCGTATAAAAAAAGATGTAATCAGATTACTGTTACCTTTTTGAAGAATGGGGATTACATTCTGTGTTCCTATTGAGTCTCGCTGGATCACATTGAGTCAACAGCAGAGACTCAGAGCTGCTGCAGACACATTTCTCCCTCCTTGTATTTGTCTCCTTTTTTTTTATATATCAAGGATGACTTCACTTTTTCTGTCTTCTATTCCCTGAAGAAAACGGAGGCGGAGACAGAGAGATGGCGAGGAATGAGAGCGAGACGAGGGAAGGTGCCAAAAGATAGAGAAGGGGAGAAAACACAGGCGAGAATCTGCTAAATAAAATGAAGAAGAAGAATGAAACGGTTGAGGATGAATTGACAAAAATGGAAAAAGAGATTGAGATTGGATGTGAGCGACGAGGTGAAGAGAAGAGAGTAACGGTGGCTCCTCCTATAATCCCACTGCACTTCAGATGAACCTTCTCCAAGGAGGAAACATTTCATCTCTCAGCGTCTCAGGTTTCCCCTCGCTCAGCTTCGGCCCTTCTTCTCTTACCTCCCTGATTGTTGTGCGGTCAGTTCAACACACCTCATGTTGTGTTTTGGGTGTCAGGTGTTTGGTACCAACCTTAAAATGAAAGTGCTGCTGTGCATAAACAAGATTAAAAAAAAGAAGCCATAACCTTTTCATTTGAGAACGACACGGAGGGGGAATCTGATACTGAAACATGATGAAAAGAATTCAGTAAATTACTAGTGTATTTGAGGCTGAACTCAAATTGTATGTAAAGCCGCCCCCTCTTTTTCATTTTGATCTTATTCAACAACGATAAGTCATTCTTACGCTTTCAAACATCAGATTTAAAATGGTGTTTTATTGGAGAGACTCAGTTTTAGGGAAAACAATCGACAAATTCAAAAGTGTTCGTTGATTTAGAAATGATTTGGTCAACGACAGCCATAACCTTGAACCGTGACATGCCGACAGAATATCAATTAGTTCAATTATGATAAGTATTGAAATGTTTAAATCCCCGCTCTACAGACGCTGTGTCTCATCCTCTCTTCTTCCTCAGCCTCTCTTCCTCTCTGCATATGGAACAGGAAGTGGTATGTGGGTCAGAGAACATATGCTGAGACGTGCACAGAGGCAAGAGAGTGCACGTGCACACACACACACACACAGACAGACACAGGAAAGGAGATGTATGGATGTGTTTGCATCGTGTCACGTGAAAGTTCCTGTGGCTCCATCATACATCACACACACACACACAGTGACAGACGTGTGTGTGTGTGTGTGTGTGTGTGTGTGTGTGTGTGTGTGTGTGTGTGTGTGTGTGTGTGTGTGTGTGTGTGTGTGTAAATATCCCAATCTTCTCCAATGCAAATAACACTTCCTCTGCTCATTCTTGGCGAGCGTCCAGACGAACTGGCAGTGTTTATTTTAGAAAACGGCTGCATCATGTGGAAAAGGACCTCCGTAAACATCTCAGAGGGGCGAGGGGAAATCAATGAACCGCCATGTCTGTAATATTCTCTTCATGTGTGTTTCTCTTCAGCCCGTCAGCTCGTATGAACACATAAACATCTTCCCGCTAACTGTTCCTCGTCCGTCCTCTTTAATCCCTACAGTTGGAAATGGAGATTTGATTTGCCTGCCGGCTACTCCCGAACTCAGAGTCTCAATATTGCACTTGATTTTTTAAGCGTGTCCGGTCACAGGCCATATCGGCAGCTAAAGAGAAATATATTCATCAGAAGCTGCAGCTACTACAGAGTGTCTTCAAACACTTAAACCTCTCTGCAGTGTATTCAGTGAAGGTGTCTTTGAGGTGGCTTTAATCAATATATACTCAACAAATCAATGACTTCATGTCTTTGTGTTTGAAGATCAGTGACTCAAACCTACAAAACTCTAATGTTCCCGTCAGATTTACGGAGCTGATTACGGTTTCATAACTTTACGGTGTTTGTTAAACTATGTCGATGTCATTGCATTGTTCTCAGCTTAGTGAGAGGCTGGGTGATACACTCATTCCTCTCTCAGGCAGGATAAGGTCAAGTGACTTCAGACGTGCGTTTGTGAACATTTTTACACTATGTCTCATTTGGTTATTCATTCAATGATGAGTAACACGAGACACTCACTCCACCACCATTGACGTCTGAGATGTAGTTTTATGAGACTAATAGGACATTTCTGCATGTAGACACACACTGGCTACAATTACACAAACAGCCTCTGAGTCAACTTTACACACACACACACACACACACACACACACACACACACACACACACACACACACACACACACACACACACACACACACACACACACACACACACACACACACACACACACACACACACACACACACACACACACACACACACACACACACACACATCACACACACACACACACACACACACACACACACACACACACACACACACACACACACACACACACACACACACACACACACACACACACACACACACACACACACACACACACACACACACACACACACACACACACACACACACACACACACACACACAAATGTCCCTTGGGAAATTGAAAATCTGTTGAGCTTGGACACAGACTAGGGCTGTGCAATTAATCGTATTTTAATCGCAATTACGATTTTGGCCTGCCACAATTACGAAAACAACATAATCGAAAAAAACGATTATTTTGCTTTGCTTGGTTGTGACCGTGCACTGCAACATATTTGATCTAATTTATTTTAGTCTAATTTATTTGTATTTATCGTATTTACATATGTTTAGTAGCTTGGGGAAGTGCGCTCCAAAATATTTGTTGATCTTGTTTATTGGTATTTATTATTTTGATATTATTTATTTAAATGTATCATTTATTTTTGTATTGGTTTTTCAGTTGAATTATACGTTCAGGGTAATCAACAGTTAAAAAGATACTGTTCAAATTATTATTTGTATTTGTTTTAAAGTTCAATAAATGGATGTTTTCAAAGTCAATGAATAATCGTATTTAATAATCGTGATATCAATTATTGACCCAAATAATCGTGATTATGATTTTTGCCATAATCGCACAGCCCTAATACAGACTCTTAAAAGAAAAATACTACGAGGGTTGGAGACGGTGTGATTCTAAGCCTGAAAATTATGACTATTTTTGGACAGAAAACATTGAGGGAGCAGAGCGACGGGAGAGAAAGGGAGAGAGGGGAGTCCGTTTGTTTTGGTGTTAACTGTTTTGTTGAAAGCCGGAGTAAAGAACCGATTTAGGCCAACAGCTGCAATGAAATCTGGGATCATTTCCAAATCTGCAAAAGTGCATGACTGCAGAGGTGAGTCTAACGGCTACAGGAGCTATATTAGTCTCACCTCGTGCATTTTACATGCATGTGTCCCATTTTACTACCATACATTAAATTCTCTCTGTGGAGATTGTATAGCTGGGTGAAACATCTCTGGAAACAGTCAACACAAGAACCATATTGCTTCATTTACTGTTTGTAAGATAGAAGGAGAACAAAGCTTTTCAGTTTCCTACATTCCTCATAAATCCTGCAGAAATGGCAACTGCTGTTTAGCCGGCATGCTGCGAACAATAAGACAGAGATAAAATGCTCTTTTCTATCCATGACGGTGTGGAAAGGCTGATAAAGTTGGCGGGGGGCATTAAAAGAAAAATGCTAGAGGGTCAATCTCACTGTCGGATGCGTTTTGGTGTCCTGCACACACATCATTCATTTGCTTTGTTTACTTAAACAAAATAAACCATAAAAGGGGGTTTTCATATAAGTCTAAATTATATATGATGATTAAATTGCATTATTTGACTTATAAGATATATTTTTTGTTTAGTTTTGTATAACGGACCGTCCACACAGCAGCGTTAAAAAAATCTTGGAGGTGGCCGTATCTGAAGGTTGGGGATTCTTTGCGAGCAAGGCACCAACAACCAATCACATGAATCTCCCGCCCCCGACATACGAAGCCAAAAAGCCCGAAGTAAACTGGATATAAACTCCCCAAACAGGCGAAAACATACCACTGTCTCTGCCACCTCCCTCCATGTCTGGCTCCTCCGGTTTATATCCCGGTAGGTAAATAGGGACTGGTCATAAAGCACCGGGTGATTCCCTACCGCTAATTTCTCCTCCATGTTTTGGAATATGAGGAAATGACCTGCGGTATGTCTCTCCCAGCATACACGCCGTTTGATTGGCTAGAGCTTGAACTGTCAGATTTGTGTACACGGGATTTGATTGGCTGACGCTTCCACCTCAGCTTCAAAAGTTGAACATTGCTCAACTTTGAATCCTGAAAATCCTGAAAATCTCCGCTCGCCTGCCCACAATGCAGTTCGGCGAAAAGTGAGGGAAAGTGACGTCACCCCATTCAAAGTGAATGGGCAGAAGCGTTCCAAGATTTTTTTAACGCTGCTGTGTGGACGCTCCGTAAGAGTGTGTATGCTAGTTTGCTCTGTCCAATGAAAACCCATTCAATTTTAATTCAAGTAAAATGTGAGTAATTTATAATAAAGAAAGTAGGATTTTGTTTTCATAATCCGCCCCTTTGGATGTGCTCCTACATTATCTGCTTGCAGTTAGTTAACAACAATTGCAGGAGCTTGACCAACATGCATTCCTAACATATTAAAATACATATGAATTTAAACTGAAAATCTTTTTAAATGTTCATAAATCATGAAATCCAAAAAGGCATCCTTCAGGGATATTGACCCTCTTACAAATAATCATGACGTACATTATTTTGATGCACGTAACGACTCATTTGAGCTCATTCACGATGGTCTCCTGGCAACAAAACATCAAAAGTATACATGAAGCACTTTAGACTGACCTCGGTGACGTCCATGACCTTGATGGCCGCCAGCTGTCCCGTCTTGACATGTCGACCCTGGAGAGGAAGACAAAAGAGAAGAGAGATAAGGGAACTGTAAACTTTGGGTTTTTACCCCCTCATGCAGCACTTCTATAGACATTTATTAAAGCACACATGGCCACAAGAGAAGAGTTAAGAGCACACAGTGACAATGGTATTCTTCTTTTAGGTCAAAGAAGCCAAAAAAGTGACCAATTAAAAACACTGGAAACAGGCATGGCGGATCATTCAGGAAGCTCTCCAGACAGACGTCTCATGGGCAAGAAAACAATTCAGTTGGTCATAAAAACTACAAACCACAAGTTATGTTTCCTCGACAATAGCCGGCACAACTATGCAAAGGTCCAAAGTGTTTTAACGCAGACTGGTGTGAGGAATTCAATCATTACCAGGCTTGGGGAGTAACAGATTACTTTTCTAAAAATGACAGTTTTCAACGCTGAGCTCCAGCAGACACACAGTCAGTCTGTTAGAAAGCATCATTAGGATTCCACACACACACACACACACACACACACACACACACACACACACACACACACACACACACACACACACACACACACACACACACCACACACACACACACACACACACACACACACACACACACACACACACACACACACACACACACACACACACATCACACACACACCACACACACACACACACACACACACACACACACACACACACACACACACACACACACACACACACCACACACACACACACACACACACACACACACACACACACACACCACACACACACACACACACACACACACACACACACCACACACACAACACACACACAGCAGGTGAACCTATATGTTCATAAAATAGTTGTGTGTGAGCTTAACTGTGTGTGTTTAAACTCAAACGGAGCATTTTCTGTCAGCTCAGATTTGATTTCCTTGCTTTTTTAAACCGTAGTATGTGCTCACGTGTTTCAGTGTTGGTGTAAAGCCTGAATATGCTTCATGAAAGGCAGGTTCACCAGAAAAGCTTGGTTTCCTCTGTGGGTTAGCAGCATTAGCTCAAATGATTTAACAGATGGAAAACTGTAAAGGAAAGAATAACAGACGAGAGTTAGTCTGTGTAACTGTTTTACCCTGCATCATGTTTGTGGCTTGTGTCTGAACGGCCTCATGATCCGGTTCCCTTTGTGTGAAACAGGACGGACACCTGAGCCGTTTCTGAATGAGTTAGCGCAGTCCGCAGTTTGAGTGATGAGGGATTAACCCATTTCGGTTTTAGCCAAAGGGGACGTGTGTGTGTGTGTGTGTGTCTGTGTGTAATGACTGTGTGTGTAGGCTGGGGTTGTCAAAAAAAGGTCAAGGCGGTTTGAGAGAGCAAACTGCAAAGACGACAAGGAGGCAAATCTCTGCTGTTTTTGTGAAACTGGAAACTACAGTATTTGAGTAGAGAGGTGAAGGAGCACAGAAACTCAAGACCAAAATTAATGATGTCACATAATATGCTATTTTAGTGTCTCTACTGGGACATGTCTCCATGCTTTAATGTTCAAAAAGCTCTTTATCTTTCTCATACTGCCTGTGCTGCAGCACCTCTTTTCACCCTCTGTCTGAAACCAGAGCCCAGTCTGCTCTGATTGGTTAGCTGGCCGGCTTTGTTGTGATTGGTCAACCACTTAGAGATGTCCCGCCCTTTAGCCTATCACGAACAATGTGTTAAAGCGCTAGCCAATAGAGTGCCGCAGTGACGCGTCCTAAAACCCGGAAGCAAACTCCTTCCGGTTCCTTCGACAAAAACACAATGAGATTTCTCCATAGGATTTTGGAAAATAGCTGGAAATAAGGTCTGTGGTTGAGACACATTTAAGAGACGGATCACGTTTTGTTCAGCCGGATAATATCCACATGTCTACCATACTTTTATAATTTTCTAAATCATAAATCTAGTCGCCAGAAGCAAAATGCTAACGTTATGCTATAAACGAACTACAGCAGGGTCGCTGCTTCAACGTCACGCCAACTTAAGATCCATATTCAAACACACAGATTCTAAATGGTACGAGTTGAAGCGTTTGTTTGAACGGTTTGCAGGAGGCAGGGACTTGCTTTCAAGCAGAACAGGGCAAACTAACTTAGAGGAGTGTTTACGTGTTCGGCGTAATGACGTACAACGTCCTCGACAACTTCTGTAGTCCTATTCAGCCACTTGGTAACAACCATCGTTTTTCAGACACGTAAACTCTTCAGAAATCACCAGTGGGGTCACTGCTGATGTATTTAATGTTGTAGAACAAAACGTGATCGGTCTCTTAAATGTGTCTCAACCACAGACCTTAGTTCCAGCTATTTTCCTAAATCCTATGGAGAAATTGCATTGCTTTTTGTCGAAGGAACCGGACGTGGTAGAAATGCTAACTTACTTCTGGGTTTTAGGACGCGTCACTGTGGCACTCTGCCAATAGAAGCGTGAGTGTT